CAAATTCTTCAAATCAGCAGAGAATTCTGGCATATTTCACCAAACTACAAGTTTCAGAATCTTTAGGTGGGGAATTTAGACAGTTATAACATAAAGTCTGGCAAACAATGTGTAGAGGGTGGGCTAAGTTGTTGACAAGTGGATAGCCCTAAAAAAAATTACATTTTAGATAGATAGATAGATAGATAGATAGATAGATAGATAGATAGATAGATAGATAGATAGAAGACAGAAGATAGATAGATAGAAGACCGTAGATAGATAGATAGATAGATAGATAGATAGATAGATAGATAGATAGATAGATAGATAGATGATAGCATTTATTGGTTTTTCAGGTTTCGGTTGACAGAAGACAGTTTTATGCTTCTGACCAATAAAATATTGTTATGGATTTGCTGTCAAGTTTTGAAGCAGGGGTCTAGAGTGGGGGGGGGGAGGTTAATGAGTGAAGAAAAAAATCCTCCGTAAAATTCCTTAGTGCCCATCAGCTCCACCATTTGGGCAGCTTTACAGTGACAGCTACAAAGTCCAGAATAGCTAGGAAATGCCTGAGGTGAGTAGGGCCATGTGGTGGATTCCTGAACTATGCATCTCTATGAGGTCCCACCCTTGCCTGTTTTTCACCACTGCACTCTGTGGTCATTGAGTGTGCTCAGTCTCAGATTCCCTCACCTCTTAGGGACTTCTGAGAGCTATGAAAGCACTTCCCAAGGGACCTCTCAAGCCATGTTCACTTGAAGGGTTGTCAAAACAAGAAGGTCAAGATATGGAACCATGGTTTTGAGTTACAAAAAGGCAGGTTCTAACTAAATATTAGGAAAAACTTTCTAGTGGAAAGAGCCATTTGAAAATGAAACAGATTCCGTAGGCTAGGGAAAAGGAGGGATCCCCTGTGTAAGGGATCCTTTAATGTGGATTTCTCTATTGAACTGAAAGTAGGCAGCACCTCAACCTCAGCAACATCTACACAATATTGTATCTGGTTGCCCATGGAGGGGAGATTAGTAGAAAATTCCAAGCCTTGTAGGCAAGGTTGCAAAGTCTTTAGGAACCGAGAAGTCACCGTTAGAACTGGAGGCCAAAACAAAGTAGAGCAAATTTGGTTTCTTTCGGTTGGATCCTATGAAGAGTAATGGTGCCATTGGGAATACACATTGGCACATGTTGGGGAATCTGATGAAAAGTAATTGTACCATTGAGTTTTGAGGCTGAAAATAAAACCCAAAGATTAAAGGAATGCATTATCGTCTAGTTATATCTGCTTCTGAAGGAATCAACTTGGGCCACGTTGCCTCTACAACTTCTCACCACACCAGAAATGAAGCGAATACAATCATTGTGCTTCCTTACGCATCCACCTATGATTTCATATCTTCCAGATGGATTAGACTGCAATCCCACTTCTTTACAGACAGCCCAACCATTCCCACTGATGCTGTCCTTTCCCCAGACCACAGTACTATTAAGGACTCAAAG